GCTGTAATTTTTTGTAAAATTCTGTAATTTTTGTCACTGGAGTAACACACTTCCATAAACCTTTCCCATGCTCCTTTTACTGATTTTTCCTGGCAATGTCCTTTCGTCCTTCCATCTCACCTTTCCTGGCAACCTGTATTTTAGCTCCATATGCAACTCAGCAGAGGGAAAAGAAATTTAAATTTGAGGAGCACCCCAGAACCCAAGACTTCACTCATTTTCCTTGGAGGCTGCAACCAGAGGCATCTGCTGGAGATGGAGGAAGTGTCAAAAAAGTCAAGATGGTGGTTACAATTGTGCAACTGAAGCCCTGTCCTTGCTTATGGCTTGTAGAACATGGTTCATGGTGTTCCATGTGATGTAGTCAGATGGAGCACCATGAACCATGATCTGCAAGCCATAATGGCTGGGTTGATACAACACAGTAAGTCAAAATCAACAAACCAGCTTAGGACTTAGCATGATGCATAAAGCCAGCAGATTTCTTAACACTGATAAGGAGGAGAAGTTTCTTCGTCCACTGGAGGCAGATGTTCCTGCATCTAATTTCAGCAGATGATCCCAGGTTCTAACATGGTAGCTCTATTTACTCAAGGCACTCCTCCCAGAACTAAAGTTGCTCACACAATATGCTCGTCTTGGTTAGTGCTGATCTTGGTTTGGTTGGCTATGGCCGAGCACATTGTGTGAACCCAACCCATCAGTGAGTTTAGATTCAAACGGTGATCTTGCAAAGCCAGGAAGTGCATGAATGAGTAACCAGATCAACCACCTAACTTGAGTACATCTTGTGAAAGAGTGAAACTAATTCTCTTCCCCCCTTATTTGCTTTCGTTCCATTAAATCCAGCCATTTCACGAGGGGCGCGTCCAAACACGAGTGAGAAGGAAGGAGAAAGATTCAAAGGATGATGATGAGAAACTATTATCAAATCAAATACATATAGAAATGCTCCGGCTTGCACAGAAGCTGAGAGGAAGCGTTGCAAATTACAGCGTTTCCCCTTATTTGCTTTCGTTCCATTAACTCCAGCCATTTCACGAGGGGCGCGTCCAAACACGAGTGAGAAGGAAGGAGAAAGATTCAAAGGATGATGATGAGAAACTATTATCAAATCAAATACATATAGAAATGCTCCGGCTTGCACAGAAGCTGAGAGGAAGCGTTGCAAATTACAGCGTTTCTTTCCTGAATGAGAAACCCTCTGAATCATTTGTGGTCGTCCCTTCCTGTTGCTTTGGGATAGGCTTGCACTTGTTCAAATGATAAGAAGGGAAGACGAAGAAAAGGTGGGGCCCCACCCCTCGAGAGTCAGTAATAGTGGCCATGTCTGTGGCCACCAGCTTGACTTTTTGACTGCCCCCCCAGCAGACGCCCCTGTTTCCACCTGGAAGGGTTTCTGCTGTCTCCCTCAATAGTCCTTCCTTTGGATGAGAAAGATTGAGTTTGTGCACCCCATGAAGCCATGATCTGATTAACCATGGTTTATTGAATATTCCACAATTGGCCGGGTTTCCACAACACAGGGAGATGTAAAGGTGTAAATCATCGATACGAACCACCGTAACCAGGCTCACCTTCACACTAAGCCCAAAAGAATCAAACACTGGGCCCAAACTAGGTATGATGGTTTAGCCCAGGCTCAGCCAGTGTCGCTACCATCATCCCCTACTTTCTACGAAAAGGGACAGCGATGGGACCCGCAACATTTCTGCCCCTCCGTAAACTTCAGAGCCAATTCAGCTTTCCTTTCTCCCTTAGGGTGAAAATTTCAAGAGGGTTTCCAAAACAGCCAAAAGCCTTTCAGCTCAGAGGAGTGAAATTTTCACTCCGGGTCCTTTTTAAGCGACAAAGGTCGGCCTTTTGCCCTCTTCTTCCTCTTGAGCAAGAGAGTCAGTTCTGGGCTCGGACACCTGGGGGCACCAGGAGTTGCTTCCGACCTCATCCAGGATGGGAACTCGGGGGCGTCCGCTCCCTTCTCCGGCCAAGAAGAGACCGGGGTTGAAATTGCAAAAAGTTTTGTCGAGACTTTGGAGCTGGGGAGGGGGAGAGAGGAAAACAACCCAGCAGGCCTGGTCCTCCCTTCTCAGCCATCCAGGCAGGGGGTGGCCTGGGCACCAGGCACGCCTCCCTCTTCCTCTTCTTCTCCTCTTTCACCACCTCTGTGGCAGCCGCGGCTGTTTCCAGCCGGGGCTGGAGCAAGCAGCGTCTCGTGAGGACAAAAGGAGGGTCCAGCAGAGGAAAACAAACACGCGCTTCTCTGGGAGGGATTGAACATGGGACGAGAAGGGAGCCAGGCCACGTGAGAGGCGCCTGGGGGAACCCTGGAAGGGTAAGCTATCTCAGGGATATGGGGGGGTGGGGGGGCACAGATTGCTGAACCGAATCGGGTGCGGCGTGTTTCGAATTGCCTCTGGGCGCATTCCGGCACACTTGGGCACCGAGTTCCCAAGGGACAACCTTAGAGATCACAAGAGTTTCATAGACCTTGCACCAACAAACTCCCCCCCTATAATCTGTCCCCCCCAAACCTTGTCCATTCTAGATTTTATTCTGTTTTTTTTTTGTTTCCAGTTTGTGGAAGGTGAACCGCATTGAGTTTTTGATTATTCCTTCTTCCCTTCCCTGGTTCCCCCCACCCCAACTTGTACTATTTTTGGATACTATTTCTCCCACCTCTGCCTTTAAATAGGTTATGACTTGCCCAGCATTGATCTATGATATAAGCTTTGCAAAAGCTCTAGAATAAATCCTCCCATACTAACATTTCAACGTGTGCTAGATTACAATTCCAATCATCCCCAGCCGCCGGGGGGGGGGGCGTGCTGAAACTACAGCTGTCCCATTAGATATTTTTTTCCCTGCACCAGGAAATAGCTAACTTCAGCCTCCGTCTAGCCTCCTGCAAAGAGTGTTTTCAAATTCTTCTGGAAATGTTATAGCTGAATTTTCGAAATGGTATTTAAAAAATCTATTTTCTTGCTGCCGGAAGCATTCTAAGGCCGCTTCAGATTGGTTGCTTTTTTATGATGTAAAAGTTAAGATAAAAAAGTTTATTGCCCATTTATTTTAGAGTCAGCCAACTTGTTCCCACCTGGGGCTTCAAAGTGCTTAGCCGTGTTTTTCAAACTTGGCGACTTTAAGATGTGTGGACTTCAATTCCCAGAATTCCCCAGCCAGC